GGACTTTCCTATGGATTCAAGTAAGTGTTTGAGCCCAGCGACTTTCCATTCCTCTGCTCCTTTAACTGGTAAACAAGGTCTCTATCTTGGATGCATCGCCATTGACATTGCACATAATAATGCGCTTCTGCTCCATTGACCGTAATTTCTAATTATTCAAATCAGAGTAATGAATATGCCCCATTCAATAAAATATGCTATAAACAGTGATCTATTAATTTAATGGTATTTTTAAATCATGGCATCTCCTTAAATGGCCGTAATTCGATAAATTGAAGTTGCAATCGACTCAAACTTTCTACACAGCATAAGGACATCAATATGTATCAGAAAATGTAATAAAAATTGGGGGTCAGTTCATAGCCATTTCTATGCTGACCTGGTAGGATTTCCTGTGTTTCATTCTGGCCATAAGAAGAGGAGTACTTGTGCTACCCCAATAGATGCAAAAAGTATTAATATCATTTCAGCATGCATCAGGTCATGGCCTTTGTGCTTCTCCTCTATCATCCGGTGACGTAACCTTCTATATATATACATTGCATTAATATGGCTGTTACTGTATTATTTATAATACAACAATTGAACTCCATCAAACCTGTGTCTCTCCTCAGGACTGAATTTAGACCATTCTAAAGATGTAGACTAATAACAATATCTTCTGACATTTTTAAAAAACACTAAACAAGTAAAACATTAAAAACAACTAAACATGTGTGATGGGTGGAGTTTTGAAACTGTTGATATCACGTGACATTTACAGGTCACATGCAATCACGTGGATCAGAACAACAAAAAAATCTAAAATTAAAAATCCACCCAAAACTATGCAAGACTAATTATGCTCTTCATCCTCTTCCTTTCTTCTTCCTGTTTCTTCTACTCCTCCTCCTCCTTGTCTTTCATTTTTTATACTTTTAACAATATCTAGCAACCGGTCCATTGAACTGTATAGGTCCTTGTGTAGATCCTTCACCTCCTCAGATACTGAACTACGTAGATCCTTCATTTCCTCAGACAACTGGTTCTTAATCTCAGCTACAGTTGTCTGTATTAATTATAATTGTCAAAATAAAATAGCAGGTTCAATGATGCTCACTCACCTGTGGTTCAGTTTTAAAATATCTTTTAATCTCATTTAAACGACCTTCGAGCCAACAAATCATTTGTTCACGGACACTTTTTGCATGATTTGGATATATTATTATCTGATGATGCAGCTTTTCTTCCTTTTTCTTTTTATCATCATTATTTTTTTTATTGCATGATTTGCATTTGCATTTTAACAGAAATTTTTTAATCATTGTAGACAAGCATCGGGGTACAAGTGACCGTATTGACCTCAGAAATGCTTCAATGTATACAACAAATTCAATCTATAAACAGTTGTTAATAACCTGTATTACATAATCAGTTCTTACCTTCAGAGTTAGTCTGTAAGTATCGGCTGATTTTTGTATTTTTTGAGTGTCATCAACAGCTAAACTAATCTATAAATTAATTGATTAGTGATTGGAATCATTAGATAGAGTATAAACATACCAGTAGATTAAGAAATAGAATGGGCATTAAAATCACAAACACAACTAATAATGAAAATGCAACCACTGGATATTGTATATTATTTTGAATCCAGTCCATTTTATGACTGCTATCATGTTGCAATAATGACTCCATATCAAGCTCTCCTGTTGCCATTATTAATATTATTACCATTGTCCTCCACGGAGTGATAAACGGAGTACTCTAGAAAGAAAGATACAATTAAAGGGAGAAATAGAATTAAGAACAAATGTAGAGACAAAAATTAAAAGACTAAAAGAGACTTGTGTAAGTATCTTACTTTGTCATAAAATACCATATAAAAAGGGACTGCAAAGGCCAAGATTAACAGTAAGGCAAGGACAATAACTTTCATAAAGTTATAACAAATTCTCAAAAACATGACCACATATATTCCAATAACCGGTAGCTTCCTTATGGAGAGTATAAGTACAATCCAACTGAGGAATACAGCAATCACTCCAGTCTGCCACTGCCATGAATAACTACCATAGCATTCATTGCTGCATACAAATGCAAACACTATTGTCAACATAAATAGTGGGACTTCAATGTAGTTAACGAAACTAGTCAAATACTCTTGTCCAAGCAAGACCAGTTGAAATGCTTCCCGTAGCATCATGATAGTGGAATAAACTATCAGGCATACACTGGCAAAGGATATGTATCCTTGAGATACAGAATGCAGTCCCTCTAAAACACATGATAGTCACTTGATAGTCACATGATTAATATTCATGCACTTCACTTACCAGTAGATGTTTCATTTTCAGTTACTTCTATATGACTGGTACTTACTATAACAGGGTAGGTACATAATAAACCATACTTAGTGAACTTACATGAATGAAGCTGGAGAGTGAGGGCAAATGATGTCAGTAAAATGACAAATAGAAAATAAAAATACAAATTAGTGTAATATAGTTGCCATCCATATTTATTCCATTTTTGATCAAGAAGTGTCCTGACAAGTGGGTGCTTCAGTAAGTCTGAATTTTGTGAATTAGCCTATGAATAATAATCAAGTATATAGTTAATTATTGGCACTTACAAGAATAGTAAGGCAATGATTCTGACTAGAGTGGTATTCTGACGGTGGAGGCCATTGTTTCTGGGTTTTATCAGCACTATCACAAGAACTAAAAGAATTTTGGAGTAATATTTTTAAAAGCTTATATGTACTTCTTTCCTCTCTGGAAGCAGTTACAAGTTAACTGTATCCCTTCAGACCTGTCTCTGTTTTTGTTCCTTAATAATAATAATAATAATAATGACTATTATTATTAAATTGCTCAAAATGAAAATATACTTACTCTAACTCAAAATCAACAAGAAATTCATAGTTATATGTAATCTTATACTCATCATCATATGGTGATCCTTCTGTCTCACAGCATTTATCAAAAACAACTTTAGCTACATCTAAAAAAGAATAAAAACATTATAATACGTTATGGACGTTGAATGGTGATCCATGATTAACCTGGCATTTTCTCAATTATCCTTCTCATTGGTGTTGTGAATTGTGTTATAGCATAGGTATCTCTTTTCTTAGAGGCATCTTTTTTATTAGAGGCTTCAGAATCTTTTGACTTTTCCTTTCCATTACAACATTCATCAGAGGCATCAGAGGTTTCAGCATCATTTGGCTTTTTCTTTCCTTTATTGCAACAGCATAATGTCCTCCTAACTGTACTCGGAGCAGTGTAATTGCATAATGCCTTTTCCCAATGGTTCTTGCTATTCACTATAGCCATGGCAGCATTTCTAAATTAGAAAAACTTACAATGAATGAACAACTGTAGGCCACACTAACTACCTCCATTTATTGTTACAAAGATCAAAATATGAATCTATAAATGATTATATTAAATCATTCTCACTTTTTTCCTTCCTCTACAGCAACTTCAAGAGGATTACGTTGATATCTATCACATTTAGTAACTTCAGCTCCACAAGTCAGTAGTAGCCTAACAATTCTTTCATTACCCCCCTCACAAGCATAATGAAGTGATGTACGCTTATCATTGCTAATTTTAGACCAATCAGCTCCTTTATCAATAAGATGCTTAACAGTTCCTTCATTACCAGCCTTACAAGCATAATGAAGTGATGTACGTCCATCATTGCTAATTTTAGACCAATCAGCTCCTTTCTCAATAAGACGCTTAACAATTCCTTCATTACCAGCCTTACAAGCATAATGAAGTGGTGTACATCCATCTTTATCAGTAGCATTGATATCTACTCCTTCATTTTGTAACAGTTCATCAACCTCATCAGAGTTACCATCCTTACAGGCCCTGTGAAGCTGTGTGCGACCACTTTCATCTATGCAATAGAAATTGATAATTTTAATATCAAGAGTATATATATTCAAAAAGGATTGGCATACACAGCACACTACACAATGAAGTCTGGTTTACACTTGCCACAAAATGCAATGCAAATGAGTGCAAAATTAAAATTTAGGCAAATTTGCATCTTGTTAGATAAACTTTCATGGTCTGTGAATGAACCAGAAGCCACAGGCTTTATTATAATTAACAATTCTGGCAATAAATGTTTCTATTGTTTATAAAAATGTATATAATTTTAAACTGACCAGTATTGTCTTTAGACCCACCACCACACTGAGGCTATAAGGGAAAGAAATAAAGTAAAAAGCATATTAAAAAGTTGAGCTAAAAGGAACTGTTTAAGAATTAATGGTTACATACAACTCACTTCAATTTTAACAGCACTAGCAGCCTTATCAGTCATTTTCTCCAACCAAAAATTCTCTTAGTGTTACCAGTTCCACAGTGACTATATATAGGCTGCATCAAAAATTTGAAAACATGTTATCGCTCTACACTTTGTGTGGGATAAGTTGTTGCAATTCAACTACATGCACTTATTATAACACATTGTTATCATCAATTCATAAGATCATATCAATACCATTTCAATACATCTTAAACAAAGTTTAGAGTACTAGTTCTTTTACGGGTCTTGCCCTGTTATTATAGTTTAGTGTAACATTAAATAAATAAACTATACCTCACAAGATTGACAATCACTGAATGAAATTGATGCCATAAATGGAATTATAGTGCAACTTGTTGAACTTGATAAATCTAAAGTTTGCAGATTTTAGCATGCCATGGTACATGTGAATTAATTTAATAAAATTTTTAATTATTAGTTAATTAAAAGGTGTGTCACGTGACTCCTCCTTTGACCACGTGTTGTGCAAGGAAGACATCTTACAATGGCTGCCAACTCGCAGAAACTGCCTCAAAAAGAGAGCGGAATATTCAAGAAAGTGGTGGTGAGTGTAAAATTTCACTGAAAAAACAACCTCCCTTCTTCCCCACAGCGTTCATACGAGTGCAAGCAATACAAGAATGGGCTCAAGTTTGCTAAACAGATACTGTCCAATCCTAAGCATTCAGACCATGGAGGTATAAATTAACAAATAAATCAATAAATCTTAGTCTACCATTATTACAAAATAATATGGTGAATAATAGTTGGGTTGGGTGGAAATGAAATACTACTATTAGCTAACCATTTGTACTATGAATAATTTAAGTGAAACGTAATAATATTCCTTATCTTAATTTCTATTGTAATGAGGTAGGTATCTATGAATGGTGTCAGTCCTCATAATAAAGTAACATGTTTGATAGATAGATGTACATGTACAATGTATATTATACATGTACAATTGTACATACTTCATTTTGTATTTATCTCCTCTCTCTCTCAGAGACACTAGCAATGAAAGGTCTTATTCTCAATTGTATTGGTAAGAAGGATGATGCTTATGATTGCGTACGTCGAGGACTAAAGAATGACCTAACCTCTCACGTCTGTATCCTATAAATTTAACCACACCCACTTTGATTTATCTAATTATTATGTACTATAAATATACATGTATTAACTGATCATTAGTTTTCCTTAACTATCCTCTCTCATTCTTTCTTTGTGTTTCATTCTTTCCTTTGTCCCTCTACCTGTGTATACTGTATCAGGCTGGCATGTGTATGGTTTGCTACAGAGATCAGATAAGAAGTATGATGAGGCCATTAAAGCTTATAGGAATGCACTGAAACATGATAAAGTAATGTTTACTGTAGAGGAGGATTGTGTTTGTTATCTTTGTGACCTTTTCTCTCTCTCCTTCTAAAGGAGAATGTTCAGATTCTTCGTGATCTTTCTCTTCTCCAAGTTCAAATGAGAGACATGGACGGATTCTGTGTATGTTTTTTCTCCATTTACCTCTCCATATGTTTCTCTATTAATTCTTGTCTTTATTTTCTTTAGGATACTCGGTACCAGCTGCTAAAGGTTCGTCCAGCCCAGAGGTCCTCTTGGGTTGGCTATGCTCTAGCCTATCATATGAACAATGACTTTGAAATGGCTCTCAAAGTAATGGGAGAGTACAGGAAGACACAGGCACCTCCACAAGTAAGAGAAAGAAGAGATTTTAAAATAAAGGAAGAAGAATTCTTTTAATGTTTAACATTATATAGATACTATTTTAATGTGAAGGGGATGGAATGAGATGTTCCTGTTTCTTCTTTTTATAATCTTTTTTTCTTTCTCTCTCTCTCTCTGTCTCTCTCTTAGAAACTCCCTGATTATGAGTTTAGTGAAATGATACTGTATGAGGTCCAGCTCCTAATGGAGAGTGGAGCTTATAAAGATGCTTTAAAGTTTCTTGAAGATTTCCGCCACTACGTCTCAGACATGCTGGCCTATGCTGAAATTAAAGGTACACAATTCTCTTCATTGTTTCATGTACCATTTTTCTTTTTTAGGCGACATTTTGCTAAGAGATAAAAGATTTGAAGAAGCCGAACTAATATTTCACGATCTAATTCATCGCAATCCTGAAAACCTCATGTACTATCAGAAACTAGAGGAATGTCTTAATATCAGTAAGTATCACATGACTTTCACTTGATCATTAACTCCTCCCACCTCAGCGAGTGATGAGAATCGAATGGAATTGTACCGAGTACTAAAGGAAGAGTTTCCTCGGTCACATGTCTGTCGTAAGGTCCCTCTTGGGTTTTTAAAGGGTCCTGCATTTCGTGATATGATTGATCAGTACCTTCGGCCACCTCTTCATAAAGGAGTTCCTTCGTTATGGATTGGATTAAAGGCCTTGTATGAGAATAAAGAAAAGGTAAGAGAAAGAATGAGATCTGATACATATTGATGTACTTATGCTGTGTAGAAAGTTTGAGCCGATTCCGACTTCAATTTTTCAAGTCACAACCATTTTAAAAAATGAGCCAAAATCTGAAAAAATCCCTGTACTATTATTATTATTATTATTATTATTAATAAACTTTACAATACATACTATAAAATGTGACAAAAAGAAAAGAAACAAAAAAAGAGATGTATCGAAGGCAAACACAGTAACAAGACTGGCCACCTAAAATTACATAGTAAATAATAATGCTAGAACATAAATAAATACATGAACAGAAAAACATTTAGACACAATTGAAACAAGGACAACAAAAATGAAACGAACAAATTAAAGAAGAATCAAAGTTATTTACAAAGTAATCAGTAAAAAGTGTGTTTAACATAAGTTTAGATTTATCTAAAGAATTATTAAGTAAATTAATTTTAGTTTTAGTAGGTAATGAGTTCCAAAGCCTAGGTAGTCTGCTAAAATAAAAATGCCTCGAAGTATTATTTGTACATGTAACATGAAGTAGATTGTAGTGACGATACGGATTAGTTGAGAATGTGATAAAGTTCCTAATATCAAAAGCAGCTGATGGATAAGACAAAGATTTTAGAAAAAAGAAAACATCATTAACCTCATATGTCATCATTAATGGCAGCATCTGAAGTGACAATAGTCTCTCTTTATAGTCTGAAGAGT